AGAGAGAAGGAGGCCCGGGGAGTGATCAGAGGCCGGAAAGTAGAGGGGAGAGGCTGGGAGAGAGTGAGAGGCCTGGGGAGAGAGTGAGAGGCCTTGGGGAGAGAGGAGGAGAGGCCTTGGGAGAGAGGAGAGGTCGAGGGAGAAAGGGGGAGCGAGGGGAGAGAGAGAGCCGAGAGGAGAGAGTGAGAGGCCGAGGAGAGAGAGAGGCGGGAGAGAGGAGAGGCCTGAAAGAGGAGGCTGTGGGAGAGGAGAGGCCGCGGGGAGATAGTGAGAGGTCGCAGGGAGAGAGTGAGAGGCGACGGGAGAGAGCGAGAGGCCCGGGGAGAGAGGAGAGGTCGAGGGGAGTGAGTGTGAGGCCGAGAAGGTCGGGAGAGAGGGGAGGCCTGGGTAAGAGGAGGAGGCCGGGGAGAGAGTGGAGAGGTCATGGGAGAGAGTGAGAGGTCGCAGGGAGAGAGGAGAGGCGACGGGGGAGAGCGAGAGGCCGGGAGAGAGAGATGAGAGGCTGCGGGGAGAGAGAGAGGCCGCGGGAGAGAGAGGGAGGCCAGGGGAGACGAGAGGCGGAGGGGAGAGTGAGGCTGGGGATAGAGAGAGGCCGTGGGAGAAAAGGCCACGGGGAGAGCGAGAGGCCGCGGGGAGAGAGTGAGGCTGGGCGGGGAGAGAGAGAGGAGAGAAACGGAGAGGGGGGGTACAGAGGGAGAGAGGAAAGAGGTTGAGAGGGAGAGGGAAAGAGGAGGAAGGGTGCAAGAGAGAGGGAGAGAGAGAGAGAGAGAGAGAGCTACACTATCAGAGGGTCCACATATTAAGTAGATTAAGTAATATCACTCGTGTTGCCTAATGTGGTCACTAACTACACTACACGCATGTAAACTACCGCGGCGTCCCAGCACTGGTCTACCTCAACCCTTAAGAGTTCGTAAGGTCAATTTTCTTATATCTCAAGTGACCTCGTCTGTCTCACTCAAGTTACGCTACAAAGATCAGTTTATTTTAAGTTACGTGAAAGATAGATTCTCAAAGCTCTACCTCAACCTCAACTCTTCTCCCCCACCCTCTCCCCACCCTCCCCACCCCCCCCCCCACCCTCTCCCCCCCCACCCCCTCTCCCCACCTCTCCCCCACCCTCTCTCCCCAATCCTCTCCCCCACCCTCTCCCACCCACCGTAATTGAGATTGAGAAGGCATTTTTACTTGCTGACTTAGACCACCACGTCGCAATAATGTCCCTTGGCATAAAGGCGATGCTGAGACTTGTACCTTAAGCGGAGGGAGAGGAGCGAATACTGATGCCCCCTAATTTTTGAGACTGTGAACCGAGGCTGACACACACACACACACACACACACACACACACACACACACACACACACACACACACAGAGGTTGTTGAGGGCTAATGTTCTGCCCTCGTGTGATTACTGGTGCAGGAGAGGGAGAGGAGGAGGAAGTGAGAGGAGGTGGAAGGGGACTGAGAGGAGGAGAGGAGGAAGAGAGAGGTGAAGTGAGAGACACGAGTGAAAGAGGGAGGGTGAGAGAATGGGGACGTTAGAGGTAGGACGGAGAGGGAGGAGGGAGGAGTGGGGGTGAGAGAGGAGAAGGGAGAGAACAGAGGGAAGAGGACGGATGAGAGGGGCAGAGAGGAGTGAAAGATTGGAGAAAGTGAAAAGGGAGGTGGGAGAGAGAGGGAGGGAAGAATGAGAGGAGGGAGAGAAAGGGGATTGGAAGAACGGGGAAATGGGAAAAGGAGGAAGTAAGAATGAGATGGGGTGTGGAGAGAGAGAGAGAGAGAGAGAGAGAGAGAGAGAGAGAGAGAGAGAGAGACCATCACTACCAGGCACTCCGAGATAAAAACTCGCCCAGCCAATCGCCAAGCTCCCTGCCCCGTACACACCAACTAGCTCTTGTTTCCTTAACCCGTTTATCCGCCTCTTATATCCACCTCACGAAGTTCAACGTGTGTGGCATTAAAACCCTCTCCATACATACATACACACATACATACATACAGTACATACATACATACACAGAATCACATCATTGCAGAGGTCGTCAAGCGGCTCGGGAGTTCTGGCAACACTCTCTCTCTCTCTCACGGTCTTTTAATTTGTTCTGTTGTCGAGGCTCATTTGTTGTTTGTTTACATTTGTGCCGCTACGTGAAATTTCCCGCCAAATTTTATTCCCGTCGTTGTTGATTGTTTACCTTCGTACTGCCCTCCTCCGCCTCCCTCCCCACGTGATATTAAATGCTAAATATCGTTCACGTCATTAATGCTTGTTTATTTTGCTTTCTACCACGTTATATTTCCCCGCCATTTTTTCTTCTCGTTGTTGTTGTTTGTTTATCCTGCTATTAATATTTGTTTATCCAGGTCGTATTGTTTGTTTACCTTTGTACTGACACACGTGATATTTTCCCGCCAAATTTGTAAACATCTGGCTCAGTTATTATTATTTTGGGGAACATCAAACGCTTCGTGGCACTGATGTTGAAACGAATTCTCAGATAAAATATTTGAGTTGGTCGGAGAATGGAAACAGGCATTTGTGATAGGATGAAGGGTGAAGGAGGTGCTGTGAGGGTAGGAGTGTGTGAGGGGCTAGAATGAGAGATGCCAGTACTCTCTATTTACGATACAACACTGAACTGGCAGCTGTCACGTGGTACTTACTCCTCTCACTGTTATGGAGAACATTTTACATAACAATAGAACCTTCCTCCTATAACATTTGTGTCATTGTGCCTTCATGAGGGATTTTGTTGTTCTTTTGTTTTTTACTCTTCTGCTATTGTTAACTTGGATGAGGGAAGAGGAACACACACACACACACACACACACACACACACACACACACGAGGTCTTACAGATACAAAGTGACATGGTTGTTACTGTTGTTCTATTTGGAAAGAGAAGAGAAGAGAAGAGAAGAGGGAGTTGTCTAGTCTGTTTTGTCCTGCATATAAAGAATAGGTTTTGCTTTACATGAGACACAAATAGACAGACAGACAGACAGATAGACAGACAGACAGACAGACAAACTAGCAGGGAGTAGCAACAATAGTCGAAGAAAAGAACCAGGTAACACAAGAATTGAAAAGGAAGAAGAAAATAATGTTGGCTGTCACACTGAAGACAAACAGACAGACAGACAGACAGACAGACAGACAGACAAGCAGACAGACAGACAGACAGACAGACAGACAAAGGAATAGAGAGTAGATCGTACAGTATGGTCTTGAATGGTTGGTTTGAAGACGGGATACATTTCTTCTAACATCAACTATGAAAGGAAGAGAGAAGGAAGGAAGGAAGAAGGAAGGAGGGAAGGAAGGAAGAGAAAAGAGAAATATAGTGAGGGAAGGAAGAGAAGAAAAGAAAGAAAAGATGTAGGAAATGCAGTAAGGAAGGATGAAGAAAGGAAGGATGAAAGGAAGGAAGGAAGAAGGAGAGGAAAAAGAAGGAGGAGAAATATAGTGAGGGAAGGAAGAGGAAGAAGGAAGAAAGAAAGATGTAGAGAAATGCTGTAAGGAAGGGGAAGGAGGAGGACGAAGGAAACGAGAAGGAAGAAGAAGAAGAGGAGGAGAGGGAAGGGAAGATATAAAGAGAGGAAGGAGGAGAGGAGGAAAAGATACAGTGAAAGTGACAGAGGAGGAGAAACTGGAGGAGGGAGGAAGATAGTGAGAGGAAGGAAGGAGGAGGAGGAGGAGGAGGAGGAGGAGGAGGAGGAAGGAAGTTAGAGGAGGAAGGATCATTGGTGAGAATTTTTCATGAGATGGTATTTTGTGAGGAAGCGTTAAAAGAGAGAGAAAGAGAGAGAGAGAGAGAGAAAGAGAGAGAGAGAGAGAGAGAGAGAGAGAGAGAGAGAGAGAGAGAGAGAGAGAGAGAGAGAGAGAGGACCAATAAAACAGTAAAGACAATGGACTTCCCAAACTGATCCTCAATCCTGTACTAAACACGAACCAACCCAACCCAACCCAACCCAACCTTACCCCGAGCACACCACAACACACGCACCCAACACCATCATGAGCTGACCACCATCAGAATGTTAACCCCATCAGAGGGAGATCAGACTTGTATTCTTGGAGCCATTTTAACCTGAGTGTCTTCATCTCGCCCATCAGCCTTGAGATAGCCGTCCACCTGGTTGGTCCCTCAATGACCCAAGGAGATGAGAATCGCTGAGAGAGACAGAGAGAGAGAGAGAGAGAGAGGTTAAGGTTAGGTTAGTGTGAGGTTATGTTAGATTAGGTTTAGATTAAGTAATTAAATATTGCTAATGACCTTTGAAATTAATTGTATCCCTAACTTAATGATAATTATTAATTAAACGACCTAATTATCCGAACTGTATAATATTTAACTAATTATTTATAATCATTACTGAAAGGTCATTAATGAGTCTAATTAACCGAATTTTTGGTTGTTTAAGGCCAGGTGTGTAATTAGTGACGATTATTGTTATTATGTATTTATCTTGACCCCATAACAGCCCCATAATTACCCCCTTGCATAACTTGTCTTCCCCATATATGAGTCATAATAACCCCATTACTCACCCCCATTATCTCTCCTTACCTCATTGTTAACTACATTATCTCTTCTCTCTTTATCTCCCATTACTTACCCTATTATCTCATTCCGCATCATATCTCACCCCATTATCTCTCTCCTGACCTCTATTATTAACCCCCATTATCTCTCTAACCCTATTATTACCCCCCAGTATCTCTCCTCACCCCATCATTATCTCTCCCTCCACCCTATTATTAACCTCCCCATTATATCTCCTCAACCCATTATTAACTCCCCATTTATCTCTCCCTCCACCCTATTATTAACCTCCCCATTATATCTCTCCTCACCCCATTATTAACTCCCATTATATCTTCAACCCCATTAACTCCCCATTATATCTCTCCTCACCCCATTATTAACTCCCCATTTATCTCTCCCTCCACCCCCCCCTACAGGAGCGATCTTGACTGAGGACCAAAGAGAATCGGCGACAGAGTTATCCTTCAAGTACGCCGTATACAGAATCAACACAGACAAGATCATCTTACCTAATACTACACTAGTGTTTGACATCCAGTACGTGCCCTGGGATGACCTCTTCCACACCGCCAAGAAGGGTGAGTCCCACCTTGTGAGTCCTACCTTGTGAGTCCTACCTTGTGAGTCCTACCTGTGAGTCCCACTTGTGAGTCGTACCTTGTGAGTCGTACCTGTGAGTTCTACCTTGTGAGTCGTACCTGTGAGTCCTACTGTGAGTTTGTGAGTCGATATATATTAATATATAAACTCTACGGTTATTGCTACCCATGTTTCACTTACTCATGCTATACAATATAAAGACACACACACACACACACACACACACACACACACACACACACACACGCACACTAATTGATATACCCGTGTGTAGAAACAGTTAACATGTACGTATAAAGAATTGACATGACTTTGCATATATGTGAGGTGACGCATCTTAGAATTAACATGGCGTGACCTTATTGACTATGTTATGGGTGAGGGTAATGAGTGATTTAATGAGGCAGCTAGAGAAAGGAAAAGAAGGAGACAGTAATTAAAGTGATAATTTGAATGATTTAATGAGGTAATTAGAGAGAGAGAGAGAGAGAGAGAAAGGAAGAAAGGACTGAGAATGTGAAGAAGGAAGAGATATGGTAATAAACTCTACGGTCTCTGCTACCCACAGTTCACTCTACTCGTGTGTTTAGTTATATACAGTATACACACACACACACACACACACACACACACACACACACACACACACACACACTCTCTCTCTCTCTCTCTCTCTCTCTCTAAGGAAGGGATACCATTGTCAGGCGATAATGACCCAACTGCCACCTATAGATAAGGCTCATCCTTCCTTAATATTACTAATAATCATAAAAACGTAGTATATTCAACTAACTCATAACTGACTGTGATTAGCAGAATGATTGGGGGGGTGATTGGGAGGTGATTAGGAGGGGAAAGGTGTGAGGAGGAGGTGGAGGAAGGGTAGGAGGATTGGGGTGGAAGAAAGAGGTGGGGAGGGGAGAGAATGGGAGGTGTGGGGAGGGAGGGTGAGGGTCTATAGGAGGGAAGGAGGTGTGATTGGGGGAAGAAAGGTGGGAGGGATGGCAGGAATTAAGAAGGGAGTGAAAGGATGGAAGGAAAACATTTACAACAACAACTACAACAACAACAACAACAATCACGATCTAAACAACAAAAACAAGAAGAAGAACAACAATCTAATCAACCATAAACAACAACAACACAGTAAAGGAAATATAAACAACGAGATAACAGAAGGTCATTAGTCCTGGTTATTAGCACGTGACATACATCATTAAGGTGTATGGTCCCGGCCAGGTAGGTAGTTAGGATAGACACACACTATTAAACCTTACTAGACAATAATTAAAACAACTAAAACACAAAAACAAATATAGTAAAACATGGGACAAAAATATACAAACAAACACGTGAATCACAACAAAAACACAATTAGAATACGATTTAAAAACAACTAAAGAAATATTAAAACAAAGATAAAACAAGAAAACAGCAAAACATAATTTAAACACCATAAAATAACGGTGACTTTAAAGGGTGACTTCAAGGGTGATTTCAAGGGTGACTTCAAGGGTAATTTCAAGGGTGACTTCAGGTGTCTCAAGAGGTAGTTTCTAAGCTGCAGATTCCCTTCAAGAGGTGTAAATTTAGGTACCCATTCACAGCTGGGTGGACTGAGAGGGGTGGGGCTCGAACCAGCGAACGTTAGGAAGGGAGGGGAGCATGCACCCGACCACCGCACCCCGTGACCTCTTAAAAGTTCACAACCAACACTACTGAGTCGGGGATTTGACCTCACCCCTGTACACACATACACACACACACACACACACACACACACACACACACACACACACACACACACATACCCTGCAACACTCTGAATAAAAAAAAACATGCTTGAAAAATACACAGTCCCTTTAAAAGACAAACTTACCACATCAACCAAATCTCAACCAAACCTGAACCAAATTAACTCAACACCTTGATCTATTCACCTTAAATCACAAGTCCTTCAATATTGACAAAACTCTTGCAGGAGATTATTTCGCTGTGTGTGTGTGTATGTGTGTGTGCATGTGTGTGTGTGAGCGTGTTTTGTGTGTGTGTGTGTGTGTAGTGACCCAGGCAGCCTCAATCTTACCATAAAGCCTTCTCATTCATCACCATCTTGCAGTTGAAGTTTCTTAGCACCACCGTCCATCTATCACACACTTGCTCTCATTATCATCTATTTACCTATTTATCTTACTTTATCTTCTTATTCTTCTCTTTGTTCTTCTTTTTCTTGCTCTTATTATTCTAGTTTTTCTTCTTTGTTATACTGCTCCTCCTTATCCCCCTCCTCCTCCTCCTCTTTCCTTTTCCTATTCATCCCAACCTCTTCCTTCCCTTCCTCTCCCCCACCAAACCCTCCTCCTCCTTCTTTCTTTCCTCCTCCTCCTCCCTCCCTCCTCCTCCTCCTCCCTCCTCCTCCCTCCTCCTCCTCCTCCCTCCCTCCTCCTCCTCTCTTCTCCTCCTCCTCCTCCTCCTCCTCCCTCCTCCTCCTCCTCCCTCCTCCTCCTCCTCCTCCTCCTCCTCCTCCTCTTCCTCCTCCCTCTCTTTCCTCCTCCTCCTCTTTCCTCCTCCTCCTCTTCCTCCCTCATCCTCCCTCCTCCTCCTCCTCCCTCCTCCTCCTCCCTCCTCCTCCTCCTCCCTCCCTCCTCCCTCCTCCTCCTCTCTCTTCATCTCCCACCCATCCCTCCCTCCTCCTCCTCTCTTCCTCCTCCTCCTCCTCCTCTCCTCCCCCTCCTCCTCTCTTTCATCTCCCACCCATCCCTCCTCCTCCCTCCCTCCTCCTCCTCCCTCCTCCTCCTCCTCCTCCTCCCTCCTCCTCCTCCTCCTCCTCCTCCTCCTCCCTCTCCCTCCCCTCCTCCCTCCTCTCTTCATCTCCCACCCATCCCTCCTCCTCTTCCTTCCTCTTCTCCTCCTCCTCCTCCTCCTCCTCCTCCTCCTCCTCCTCTTCCTTCCTCCTCCTCCTCTTCCCTCCTCCTCCTCTTCCTCTCCTCCTCCTCTTCCTCCTCCTCCTCCCTCCTCCCTCCTCCCTCCTCCCTCCTCCTCCTCCTCCTCCTCCTCTCTCCCTCCCCCTCCTCCCTCCCTCTCTTCATCTCCCACCCATCCTCCTCCTCCTCCTCCTCCTCCTCCTCCTCCTCTCCTCCTCCTCCCTCCCTCCCCTCCTCCTCCCTCTTCATCTCCCACCCATCCCTCCTCCTCCCTCCCTCCCTCCTCCTCCTCCCTCCTCCTCCCCCTCCTCCTCACCCTCCCTCCTCTCCTCCCCCTCCTCCTCTTTCATCTCCCACCCATCCCTCCTCCTCCTCCTCCTCCTCCTCCTCCTCCTCCTCCCCTCCCTCCCTCCTCCTCCTCTTCATCTCCCACCCATCCCTCCTCCTCCTCCTCCTCCTCCTCCTCCTCCTCCTCCTCCCCCCTCCTCACCCTCCCTCCTCCTCCTGCTTCTCTTCATCTCCCACCCATCCCTCCTCTTCCTCCCTCCTCCTCCTCCCTCCCTCCTCCCTCCTCTCCCTCCCCTCCTCCTCCTCCTTCTCTTCATCTCCCACCCATCCCTCTTCTTCCTCCCTCCTCCTCCCTCCTCCTCCTCCTCCTCTTCCTCCTCCTCCTGCTTCTCTTCATCTCCCACCCATCCTCTCCTCCTCCTCGCCGTAAGTCCCTTCCTCCTGCACCTATTTTTCACCCATTTTTTCTTCACCATTAATGGAGACAATCGCGACACTGTTGAGGGCCTTGGGTGGTGTGTGGTGACAGACAGTTCCTCAGAGGGCCTTGGGGTGGTGTGGTGCCAGACAGTTCCTCAGAGGGCCTTGGGTGGTGTGTGGTGCCAGACAGTTCCTCAGAGGGCCTTGGGGTGGTGTGTGGTGCCAGACAGTCTCAGAGGGCCTTGTGGTGTGTGTGGTGCCAGACAGTCTCAGAGGGCCTTGGGGTGGTGTGGTGCCAGACAGTCCTCAGAGGGCCTTTGGGGTGGTGTGGTGCCAGAGTTCCTCAGAGGGCCTTAGTGTGTGGTACAGATTCCTCAGAGCTTGGGGTGGTGTGTGGTGCCAGACAGTTCCCCAGAGGGCCTGGGGTGGTGCCAGACAGTTCTCAGAGGGCCTTTGGGTGGTGTGTGGTGCCAGACAGTTCCTCAGAGGGCCTTGGGGTGGTGTGTGGTGCAGACAGTTCCCCAGAGGGCCTTGGGGTGTGTGTTGCCAGACAGTTCTCAGAGGGCCTGGGGTGGTGTGTGGTGCCAGACAGTTCCTCAGAGGGCCTTTTTGGGTGTGGTGCCAGCAGTTCCTCAGGGGGCCTTGGGTGGTGTGTGAGGAAACAGACAGTTCCCAAGAGGGCCTTGGGGTGGTGTGTGTGGAACAGAGTTCCTCAGAGGGCCTTGGTGTGTGTGTGTGCAGACAGTTCCCACAGGGCCTGGGTGTGGTGCCAGACCAGTTCCCCAGGAGGGGCCTGGGGGGTAGGTGGGATGCCAGACAGTTCCTCAGAGGGCCTTTGGGGTGCAGGTGCCAGACAGTCTCAGAGGGCCTTGGGGTGTGTGTGGCCAGACAGTTCTAAGAGGCCCTGGGGTGGTGTGTGGTGCCAGACAGACCTCAGAGGGCCTTGGGGTGTGTGTGTGCTGCACAACCTCAGAGGGCCTGGGGGGTGTGTGTGCCAGACAGGTCTCAGAGGGCCTGGGGTGGTGTGTGTGTGCCAGACAGTTCCTCAGAGGGCCTTGGGGTGGTGTCAGACAGTTCCTCAGAGGGCCTTGGGTGGTGGTGCCAGACAGTTCTCAGAGGGCCTTTGGGTAGCCAGACAGTCTCAGAGGCCTTGGGGGTATGTCCCTCAGAGGGCCTTGGTGCCAGACAGTCTCAGAGGGCCTGGGGTGGTGTG